CTCCGCCAGCGCAGCCCAGAGACCAGCCGCGCAGCCGCGGGCCCTTTAACGGACTCTCTGCCGTATTCACCCCAATAGGCGGGCACATCCAGGCCCCGCCCCTCCCAGGGCGTCTCCGCGCTCCCTCCCTGGCGACAAGCGCCCTTGCCTGCGTGGAGGCGGCTGAGAACGGTCCGTGGCAGTGGCGGAGACAGCGAGGGAAGGGACAAAGGCGCCGCCCCTGCCTGCTGGCCTGCGAGGACCGGGCGGCCTGGCCCATCCCGCAGGCCATCCCTCCCTCTGCCTTCCTGGGGACTTGCCTGTCTCAGAGGGCAGAGCTGGCCTACACCCCGTATCCAAACTCCCCTGGCCCTAGACAAGGGAAAGTGACCCTGGCTGGTCACAAGGGGCGGCCTGGCCAGCGGCCTGTGGGATGGGGTATCCCCCAGTCCCCTCCTCGTGTTCTCATTAGGCCTGTAAAAATCCGTATCAACAGTTGGGGGACCTCACCTTCTCCTTCAGCCCTCCATCCCCCAGGGGTCAGAGGGGCCCGGGGTGGGGGGTGGGGGGGTGTTAGTCCAATCCATTCGCAAACAAAATACTAGGCATTCCTCCCAGGAAAGCCACTCTGCCCATTCCATTTCTAGTTCAGGAATGACAGGACCCCTGGGAAGGGTGGCAAGCTGGGTCTTCGCATCCGAGGATGGAAGGAATGCACTGGTGGGTCTCCTGCCTGTGGATGCTGGTGGAGCAGGGAGACTGGGGGTGGGAGATGCGGGATGCGGCATCCCGTCTCAAGCCACTGGCTTCCCTGGGTGAAGGCAATTCTGCAGCTTCACATGAGCACAGAGCACCTACTGTTTGTTCGGCCCTGGGAACAGAGCCCTGAACAGACATTCAGGCAACAAGTGAATGATGACCACATGTGCTAATGGCGCCCACCGTGGGCCTGGCTCTCGGCTCTCGGCCAGCTGCTTCCTCCATATTCAATCATGCAAGTAAACAAACACAGAGAAATAATTTCAGATACAGATCAATGCTCCTAAGAAAACAAAACACAGCCACCTTAGAATGGGCACCTTCGGCAGCTGCAGAGGGTCTCCTGGAGAAGTGACATCTCACTTGAGATCTGAAGTAGCACCCTGGGCAGAGGGTACATGTGTGCAAAGGCCCTGGGGTAAGGAAAGCCGGGCCTAGGGCTGGAGGCCTGTGAGCATGAGCGAGGAGGTGGGGAAAGCGACAGAGGCAGGCAGAGACCAGGGCGCCCAGGGCCTTGTGGGGCATGGAAGGAGTCTGGGCTCATTCTGAGGTCAGTGTGAACCATGAAGGACGCTAAGGGGGTAAGTGATGTGATGTGGTTTATGTTTTTAAAGATCATGCTGGCTGCAGGCTGGAGAAGGACTGGAGTAGGCAAGAGTGGAGAGCCAGTTGGATGGCTAGTGTGGCCCTCCAGGAAGGGCGGGTGGCAGCTGGAGGAGAGCAGAGGCCAGGTCTGGAAAGAAGAGTGGATGTGGGGTAGGCGTGGGAGGCTAAGCAGAGCACTGGCTCTGAGATTTGCAACAAAGGCCCCGTGGGTATCCTGGATCCCCCAGAGCTGGCCAACCAGGTCACGTCCTAAGCGGTGGGGCTGTCTCGCTGGCTCGATGACCTAGATAACCTTGGCGATTCTCTGATGGCCCTCCGCCTCCCCAGGGACCTGGCTGGATGGTTCCAATGCCCCTCCTGATGGTCACTGAGCCCTCCCCGCTCCCCCCCCGAATCCCACGTGTCTCTGATCCTGGTTGCAGGGGGAGATTTCCTCCTTGGGGGTCCCTGAGGCACTTCCAGGCTGCCCCCCATCTTGGTCCTGCAACATTCCTTTTTTTTTTTTTTGTGAGGAAGATCAGCCCTGAGCTAACATCCATGCTAATCCTCCTCTTTTTGCTGAGGAAGACCGGCTCTGAGCTAACATCTATTGCCAATCCTCCTCCTTTTTTTTCCCCCCAAAGCCCCAGTAGATAGATGTATGTCATAGCTGCACATCCTTCTAGTTGCTGTATGTGGGACGCGGCCTCAGCATGGCTGGAGAAGCGGTGTGTCGGTGCGCGCCTGGGATCCGAAGCCGGGCCGCCAGCAGCGGAGCGCGCGCACTTAACCGCTAAGCCATGGGGCCGGCCCCTGCAGAATTCCTTACCGTGGGCGGCTTATTCCCCAGCTACCTCGCCAGACAAGGAACTCTAAGCTGGGGTCACTGTGGTGTGTGCCCCGCACCAGGCCCATCCCAAGCCTTGGCTTTCAATCGGGAGGTCCTGAGCACAGCTGGTGCCCACTCCCCTCAGCGTAGACGCCAGCACAAGCCAACATCACACCCACGTGCACACATTCCCAGGGGTCCTGGCTCGGAACCCCGTGATGGTGGGAGAACAACACGATCCAAAGTCCAAGTTCTCTGTACTGACCGCACTCCCACCCCGGGAGAAGGTCCACTACCTGCTCACACGTCTCCCCAACGAGCAGCAGTGTGGTGACGGTCCCGAGCCAGCTGAGGCCGGCCGCTCCCTCAGAGAGCTCACCCTCTGCTGTAAGTCCTCTTTCCTCGACCTGCAGGTCCGGTAGGTCATGGGGCAGATCTGGCACTGAGAGCAATACTGTTCCTTGGTGACGGCCGTGAGTGGCATGAGGACCTCCCAGGGCAGCACCGTCCTTCTGCACTGCCCAGTGTCTGGCCCCAACACCCGAAAGGGCCCATCGGGCCCCCCTGCTACCCCGGTGAGCAGCCAGGCAGTTCCACCCACCTGACCCGTGGACCCCACAGTGAGAACTGACCGCTCCCTTCAGGTGAAAACGACTGGGATCCTGGTGGCACACGCTGTGCACCCCTGTGACCTGGTTCTCTACAGCCCCCTGTCCTGGGGGCCGAGCTTCAAGAGCGTCAGGCTCCCCCGTATGACCATGAGCTGGGTCTGGGCTGTTTCTCAGCAGCTCTGCACAGCACATCTGTCCCTTGAACAACAAATGCGAATGGGGCGGGGCAAGTTTCTACCACCTCGGGTGAGTTCTCCTCCACCTGTATCTGTGTGTGTGCACACGCGCGTGCGCGCTGGCTTAACCACAGAATCAACAGAAAGCATAGGTCCCCAAAACACAGCTGCCAGAGACCCAACAGTCCTCAAACCCCTGGTTTGTCATGGAGCTTTTCTTCTCTCCCCCAAGCTTAGCATGTCGGATTACTATCACACTCAGGAAGCTTCCAGGAAGAGAGATTTCAGGAGAGAAATTGATCCTGGATATTCTAGCACAGTAAATACCATCCTGGGGGGACAGGGCTGCCTTTGGTGTTCTGTAAAGAGCCAGGAGCAGACCTTCGAAGACTTAACCCGTTCATGGCCCAACTCAGGCCCAGGAAGGAGGACCTTCTGTTTGGCAGCCAAGAGGCACTGTCCTGGGCTCCACATCTGCACAGCAGCCTCCCCAAGACGAGGCCCAGGACTGGGGTCGGAGGCCCCTGTCTCGGCTCATCTGCTTTGTCATCTTTTCTAAACACAGCCTGGCCAGGCAGACCAGACAGACGCCCTCAGTGCCTGCCTCCCTGGCGCCCCAGGCCCTGCCCCACACATGGGTAGGCAGACGGTAAGGGCTGCAGATCTGGAGCCTGAAGCCTGAGGGGAGCGTCGGATGCCCCTGAATTGCCTGCTGCCTGCAAAGCCTGTCAAGTTCAAGGAGCAGCTAGGCCCCCCCCGGGTGAAAACACTGCTGACACACCTCTCAGCCCACTATTGTTGAGGGCGGGGTTTCTGCTGCCTGGGACCTGGATCCACCCAGGGCCGCACACAGATCCAAGGGTGGACGCGTCCAATCTGAAGGCTGTGCATATGGCATATGTCCCCTGGCTGTGAAGCCCTGCGCCTGCCCCTGGCCAGGGGGCAGTCCCTGGGGGTATGATCACAGAGGTCTGCCTGTCAAAGGCACCTTGAAGGGGCTCAGGCAGACAGACAGACGCACATATAAATTATGTGTGTAGACACAGCAGCAAGTTAGTTAAACCCCAAGATGGCAAAAGAGAGGAAATCCCACCAGCTGCTCCAGCAAGGCCTGGCCTGGCAGGGCCCAAGGATGGGTGAGGGGCTGGAGGGACCATCCACACCCCCCAGAGCCACTCAAAATCTAACTCCAGCTGGCTTTTGACAGCACACAGCCCAGCGATGAGGGAGGGGCGGGGGCGGTGCTCAGGGAGTCCAGGCTGGCAGGTGGCCCCTGGGGGCTGCTGATGGCCCCTCTCATCCCAACCATCCCCCAACCCTCAGGAATCCCCAAGCGCACAAGACCCTCCTGTAGACTCATGTCCCCAGAACAATTCCTGGGGCTCCATATCTTTCGGGGATCAGTGGCCTAGAGATGCAGGCTGTGGGGGGTGGATGAGGGCAAGGATCCTCCCCTCAGCCCAGGCAGCCCCTCACTCTGTGGACCCAGACAGAGTCACCCTCAGAACCCAGCCCAGAGCTGGGATGCCAGACACCGATCCCAGACCCGGATCCAGACGCAGCACCCACCCTGCTGCACGCCCCGCCCCTTCTAGACCCCCAGGGTCGTCTGAGCTGGGGGCACAGACCGGTTACTGGAGGCAGCTGGACCCAGCCACTCTCGCTCCAGGTCCCTGCTCCTTCAAGCCGCACCAAGTGGGGAGCCTGGCTGCGCCCACTGCTCCCCACACCAGGGCCTCACCCGCACCCCAACCCGCCCGCGCCTGGGACTGTCCCTGCGCCACCCCGAGGCTCCCGGGCACGACGGGGCAGGATGGGGCTCCCCAAAGCCGACCACTGTCGGGGTCCGCGGGGCTGCGCCCAGTCCCTAAGGTCCGGGGGCGTGCGGTGCGGGGGCCGCCCCCGATCCCCGCAGCTGGCCGCCGGCGGCCCACTGGCCGCTCCGGGCCCTTTCGGCCGCAGTCCCTCCGGCCCCCTGCCCAGGTTCCTCCAGGCCCCTCTCCGCCCCCTCCCCGCCCCCTCTCCAGGACCCCTCCCCGCCCGCCGCGCTCCTGCTCCTACCGTGCGGCGATCTCGGCGCCCCGGCCCGGCCGGGCGCGCGGGGGCTCAGCTGGCGGCGCGGCCCGGCTGCAGGAAATGCCAGAAGACTGATCCAACCGCGTTAGCGGAGGGAGGGAGCGGGCAGGCGGGAGGAGGGAGGAGCGGGGGAAGGGAGGAGGGAGGACGGAGGGAGGAGGGCACGGCGGCCGCAAAACCCGGGCGGGATCCACCGCGCTGGAGCGGGCGCACCGGGACCCCAGTCTCTGCCTGGCGTTGGGCCTTTCCTCGCCCCCCTCTCCCTGGCGCACTCTGGGGCTCACGCGCACCCCGGCCTGGACACTGCTCCAAAAATGGGCAGGAGGCTGGGCGAGATGGGTGGTGTTGAGTGGGGTCAGCTTGGGGGCGGTTCTCACATTTAGGGGTGCAGGAGAGTGCTGTGGTCACAGATGCGTGCATGCCTCCAGCCCACCCTAGCCAGAGTGCCGGGTGCTTCCTCTCCCTGTCTGAACCCAGGAAACTGTCACCATTTCTCCCCCAGTCACAGAAGCCACCAGAACACAAGAGGATGCCAGAAATCTGAGCCCTTTGTCCTCGTCCTACATGTGTGCTAAAAAGGACCCCTCGACCCCTCGACACACTTTCTCAGGACTTTTGCTACAAGTCCACCCCCTGTCCATTACCTCCTGTGTGTCCCCCTCATCCCTTCTGCCCGCCAGGGAGTTTTTCAGACCTGCACGACCGCTTGCACAGAAGAGGCATTCTGATTCCTCTAAACCACCCCAGACAGGAGCTGAGGAGGGAACAGGTGGCCCTGGCCCCTCGCCTGTCAGCCCTAGAGTGGTGTGAGCTCCTGGCTGGCCCCAAGGCCCCGGGAGCACCTCTTAGGCCTCCGTCTTTAGACCCTGCCGGGCCCTCCTCTAGCATCTGTCCCCAGAGGCCAGACAAGCGGGGAGCTGGTCCCACTCCCAGGCACCCCCAGACCAGGTAGACATGTGAGGGCGAGCACATGGGGCCTCTTTTCCAAACAGAACTTCTCAGTCCGTGGGGGACGGGACTGACTCTCAACAGAGTCGCTGCCTCCCTCCTGCTGTCTGGAGCTGCTGGCCGGCTAGTGCATTTCCATGTTTTCCCTTTATGTTGGGTGGAGAGTGCCTCGAGGGCAGCCCCTAAGCCTGGTGGGCAGGGGGATGCCAAGACCAGCAGGCTGGGCTGTCGGGGCAGCTGCCAGGTGAGGCCTTTCTGGCCCCTGCCATTGGAGCGAGTCCTCTTGGGGAGCCGTGTGCTGGAGTGCCTACCTTGGCTCTGCCCCCAACCAGCCAGGTGGGTGGCCTCGGCCACATCCCTTCCCCTTAGCCTCAGCATCGTGCCCACCCCTTTAGGCCAGGTAGTGGCTCCCCCTGGGGCACAGAAGCACCAGCCTCCCCTGTTTATCAGAGGGGGCCATGGGGTAAGGGGGGCTGCAGCCTGCTCCCAGCTCATCCCCAGGACTAGCCCGTCCCGCCCCATAGTCACCTTGCGAGGCCTGTGGATGCAGAAGTGCTTGGACAAGATGCTCGTGGCCATGATGGTCCTGCTCCGCGAGGCCTGGGGCAGGTGGCGGCTGCCTCTTCAGGCAGGGTCTGCGCAGCTCGGGGCGGCGGAGACTAGCCAGCACTGCTCTCCCGGGCCTCGCACAAAGGCTGCCAGGAGCCTGGCAAATTGCTGGTTGCCAGGGCCAATCCACAGGGGACTGAGGAAGAAAACAGCCCTGTCCCCTAGGGCAGAGGTCTCAGGGCCCAAGGTAGGGGACGTTTGCAGTCACTGCTGAGGCAGACTGTCTGGGGCCAGCTTGATTTCATGAAATGACACTGAGAGGGCAGAGGTCAAAGGGGCACCTGACCAGGGGTAGTGGTGGGTGGGAAGGGCCCAGAGGATGATAGGGGTGGCGGTGGGAATGTGGGGTCCAGACGAGGCTCGACTCAGTCACTGAGGTGGGCCACCAGATGGCCTCACGGGACACGAGGAACATGCCACCTGCACTAGGTGTCAGGTGCCCTGTCCAGCTGCACAGCCGGCACCAGACTTTTCCAGAAAGCCCCCCTTCCAGCTTCTTGCTTGGGTTTGGACAGGCAGCGTGATGAAAGGGGCCTTGGCTTCCCCACCTGTCAGGTGGCAGCAGTGTGTGCATGGCGGTCAGCTGGGAAGGAGAGTGTGAAAAGGCTCGTGGATGGGCCGAACAGCGAGCTGACTGCACCAGCTGTGGGGACACACGCGGTGGGTGTAACCGCCTGTGAGTTGGCGGGGCTGGGGCAAGTTCATGCAACTCAGGCCTCGGTTTCCTCATCTGTAAAGGGACGAAAGCAGCTTCACCCCCTGAGCTGCTGCGAGTCCCCAGTGAGTACGCAGACATCAAGTGCCAGCTGTGGAGCGAACCCGGGGGAAGAAACGGCTTGCACTGTCTCTGAAGAGCAGCCGCTGGCTTCTTACTCCGTTCTGCATTTACGATAATCCAGACAGATCTGTCTGTGAGAAGTAAGATTTTTTAAAGCACCTTTGCAAGCGTGGAGGACTTGGCTGTTGAGCAGGCAGGTTACAATTTAAGGTCAGGACTGTTCCAATCCCAGTCCGGAGAGCGGGGGATCTCAGCGGAGGGCGATTTTGTGTGCCTTCTGTGTTGACGCTGGGCAGTGTCTGGGGACATCCTTGGTTGTCATAACTGGGTGTGCTGCTGGCTTCTAGTGGGTGGAGGCCGGGGACGCAGGACGGCCCCCACAACAGGAATGATCCGGCCCCAAAGTCAACAGTGCCGAGGCTGAGAAACTCTGATCTAGAACATTCTAGAATGAATACACTTTTGACTGTTGGAATCACACCTTAGTTCTGGGTGGTTGGTCCACAGGGATTGCGGGAGTCCCCCGAGGCCTCCGGTTGACGGAGCCAAGGGATCTCGACACACGGACTCAGTTTATCCACCCAGACTTGTGAGGCAGGTGCCCTCATGACCAACTCCATTTTACAGATGGGGAAACTGAGGCACAGGGCAGGGAAGAAAGGCACCAAGCCCTCACAGTGAGTAAGGGTTCACTCCCCAGCAGTCTGCTTCAGAGCTGTGCTCTGAGCCTTGATAATGCAGAAGAGCTACAGGCTCAGAGGGGAGCCCTGGGCAGCCCTGCTCCTTCCGCTGCCCCTGGCTGCCTCCCCAGGAAGGACTAGGGTAGCCAGGACACGTTGGCACATGCCTGGGCCTGTTTCAGAGAGGGCCGGCGCCTCCGGGGACTGGGTGGTGGTGGCAGCGCTGGCCGGGCGTGGTCGCTGGGGAGGAGAGCCTGCGCCAGGTGAGAGCCTGGCGCTTTCACACCTGTTGGCTCCTTCAGTCCTCTCCCAGCCAGCGGAGGCGGCGGTCACTAGTTCCCTTGTTTCTCAGGTGAGGAAACAGGCCTGAGTAGTGAGAGGTGCGGCTGGACTCAGGTGGGACCCCGACTCCTTGTTGAGCACTGATCCTGCTATCTGGGCAGGGTGGGGTGACCCAGAGGTTCGGCCAGGACGGATGAGCCTGGGCCCCACTGCCTCCTGCTGCCCTGAGGGCAGATCCATCCCAGGCACGTGGCCTGTGGAATTTGCCGGACACTCAGGGACAACTCCGGAAATGCCTTTACTGTGAGGTTTTCTTACCTGGGCGGTGGGGCTGAGATAGCACCCCCATGAGGCATATGGGAAGTTCGAACCCCTGGCAGGATCTCCAGAACACAACAACTTATCGTAAAAACATTGGCAGCGTTTATCCTTGTCTCGTCGCCTGTGCCTGGCGCCATGTCCCCCACTTTCCACGTGTGACCTGATTGCATTCCCCCCTCCACCGGGGGGCAGGGGTGGTCATTCTCCCCATCTGGTGGAGTGGAAGCAACCAGCTCCAGGCCAGGCAGCTGGGGTGGCTGAGGCAGGACGGAGGCCAGGCCTGCCCAGGCACAAGCTGGAGCTGTAGCCAGGGTGCAGAGGCAGGCTCTGCCCCTCGGGACTGGGTGGGAGAGGGAAGACCTGTCCTCCAGCTGTCCCTGTGCCTCAATCCCCACAGCGGTGCAGGTGGGGGCGGCCCCAGACACTGCCCTCCTCCTCTCCCCACGACTTCCTGGGCTGAGTCACCATGCCAGGTGTGGGGGGCCGAGCAGTGGCTGTTGTCTGTTGTTTCTCGGGGAACCCTGTGAAATTCAGCTGCAGAATCTCCTTTTTGAATTCTGGGCCCTGCCCACCATGCTGGGGCTTCCTGAACAGGCCTGCGGCCTGGATGGCTCTCTCTCTCTGTCTTTCTCTCTCTCTCTCACACACACACACACACACACACACACACACACACACACACACACGTGCACACACACGCGCCCACGCGCACACACACGTTCTCCAGAAAGACACCTGATGGTAATAAAGACATGGACTTTCCCACCTCTCTCGGTGACAGTACTCTGCTCCTACCTGGAGGGACAAGAAGGTGCTATTTATAGGGCAGGACCCCGTGGGACTCTACGAGAGGCCGAAGTGGCCTTTAGGGCCTGCGGGGAGCATGCAGTGCGTGGACATGCTGACGTGCCTGGGCCTCCTCACAGTTACGACGTTGGTTCTTGGCGGTGAAATCTGGGGCCAGCAGACCGCCTCCGGCCCTCCCGTGTGGGGTGAGCACCTGCAGCGTCCTTGGCAGCTCTTGGCCTTGAGGGGGCAACAGGGCCTTGGTGGGCACTGCCGTGAGGTAGGGTGACAGGCCTGGGGAATCCCACGGGGTTACAGAGGAGCACGCAGGGGTCCCCTGTGCTGGACAGCGCCCGGAGCAGCAGGGGCAGCTTGCTCTGCGGGAGGCTGTCGTGCAGGAGGCTGCTCTTCACCCCCGGCCTCGGGCTCCTGCAGGGCCCACCTAGAGCTGAGCCGGACCATCTCCCGCCTGTTAGCGGCCTCTTCTCGAGGCAAGAACGGCATTAGGCTCAGAAGCTGTGATTCTGCTGGAGCAGGTGCTGGCAATCCTTGGTGTTCCTCGGCTTGTGGACACGTCCCTCCAGTCTCTGCCTCTGTTGTCCCACGGCCTCGTCCCCTGTGTGTCTGTGTCTCAAGTCTCCCTCTCCTTTCTCTTATAAGGACACAGTCTTT